GGTTTCACCAACGTACCATGCCCCAGGGCATCCTTGCCTGCAATGTATAAGATAGACAACATTGGTCGAGCCACAGGAGTGCACGTCGCGGTGGGTGTGATAGTAGTATCCATGTCAACCATGTGCCATGTCTTGCAGAGGTTGCCATGGCAGGGGTATGTGGTGTGGTGGTCAATGTTGTCCTGAAGGCTGGGTAGTCTGCTTCGAACAATGACCTTTTTAATGTTTGGTGGTTGTTTGAAGGCCAGAAGTGGAGGCATAGGGAAGATGTCTTACCATGGACTATTCTTTAGAATCAGTTTCATTCTTGGACATGCATCTCCATCAACGATAGACACCTCAGTACCTCACTCTACCGCAAGCCTACGGATAACCTCATGATGCTGCACTTCTCTAGATTCCACCCTAAATATATTTTAAAAATCCATCCCCTACGGACAAGCCCTATACATATGCAGGATCTATTCCAATGAGGAGAAACATGACAGACACCTGAAGGTTAGGAAGGATGCCCTCCTTATAACAGGTTGTGATGTTCAACTCATCAATTGCCAGTTCCAACGGGCCACAGCAAAAAACTGTAATGACCTCCACAGAAGACAGACACAGGATATGACCAATAGAATAGCCTTCGTTGTTCGTACCTCCCCGGAGCGGAGAAACTACGCCATGTTCTATGCAGCCTTGAACACATTATCAATGATGATGAGCACCTTGCCAAGATCTTCCCTACACCTCCACTTCTTGCCTTCAATCAACCGCCAAACCTTAAACAGACCACTGTTCGAAGCAAACTACCTAGCCTTCAGGACACCAGTGACCACAACACCAGACAACCCTGCCATGGCAATCTGTGCAACATATGTCAGATAATCGACATGGATACTACCATCACATGTGGGAATACCCACCACATGCACGGCAGATATTCCTGTGACACGGCCAATGTTGTCCATCTCATACGCTGCACGCAAGGATGCCCCGAGGCATGGTACATTGACAACCATGCAGATGCCACAACAACTGATGAATGGACACGTCGCAACAATCGCCAGGCAGGAAGGTGCCCTCCCAGTGGGGGAACACCAGCGGTCAAGGACATTCGGCCTTGAATCTTTGGGATACGCAACAACGCAGAGTTGGCAAGCAGAGGCTGATAGCCAAGTTCAGTACCCATGAGGATAAGCCTCAACCAGGATCTTGGGTTCATGTCACAGTACAGGTGACCCCACTACACTATACACTCCCACACGCACGCACAAACGCCCACATCCTCCCTTCCTCCCTCCTAGGCATGCACGCACGCGGATTTTCCCACACACACATGCATGCACATTCTCCCTCCCTCTCATACACATACACACAGACACGTGCGCGCACACATTCTCCCTCTCTCCCTCCCATACACACACTGACACACACATATAAAACTATGAGGTGAATTTGCAATTGCAGATCCATTCTATCTTGTTCAAAAAGCATACAATTTGTGGACTCAGTCAGTCGGTTGGGCATTTTCTAAATTCCTGCTTTGGAAATAAAACCAGTCTGACTCCACGTTAAAACACAGACAGTTTCTAAATAAGGCCTCACACCAAAAGGCAATGTCTGACCTGAGATGTCACCTCTTGTATTCATTGATAAAACCTTTAGTTATCTCGGCACATTGACTTGAAAGAAATTCGGAGAGTTGCATATTAATCAGTCGAAACCTGCATCTCCTTTCTAACTGATTAAGGATTTAACAGGTGGGAGTTAGCCAGCCAATTTAGGGTTACTGAATATATTTGCATCAGTTGTATAATCCTTTGTATGTGTTACTTTTACATTCTGTGTCTTGATACTTCCTCTCTCATTACAACTGAGGAAGGGGCAATGCTCCGAAAGATTGGGTTCAATCAAACCTGCTGTGAGCCATCAACAGCAGCAGAATTGTACTCCAGCACAATCTGTAACCTCATGGCCTATCATATACCCCACTCAACCATTACCATCAAGCCAGGAGATCAAACCTGTTTAAATGGAGAGTGCAGAAGGGCGTACCAGGAGCAGCACCAGGCATACCTGAAGATGAGGTATCAACCTGGTGAAGCCACCAAACAGGACTACTTGCACACCAAACAGTGAAAGCAGCAAATGATAGACAGAGCTAAGCAATGCCACAACCAACAGATCAGATCTAAGCTCTGCAGTCCTGCCACATCCAGTCGTGAATGGTGGTGGACAATTAAACAACTCACTGGAGGAGGAGCCTCCACAAATATCCCCATCCTCAATGATGGAAGAGCCCAGCACATCAGTGCAAGAGAGAAGGCTGAAGCTTTCGCAGCAATATTCAGCCAGAAGTGCCGAGTGGATGATCCATCTCAGCCTCCTCCAGTTGTCCCCAGTATTACAGATACCAGTCTTCAGTCAATTCGATTTACTCCACGTGATATCAAGAATCGGTTGGAGACACTGGATACTGCAAAGGCTACAAGCCCTGACGACATTCCGGCAATAGTACTGAAGACTTGTGCTCCAGAACTTGCCGCTTCCCTAGCCAAATTGTTCCGGTGCAATTACAACACTGGTATCTACCTGACAATGTGGAAAATTGCCCAAGAATGTCCTGTCCACAAAAAGTAGGACAAATCCAACCCAGCCAATTACCACCCCATCAGTCGACTCTCGATCACCACTATAGTGATGGAAGGTGTCATCAACAGCACTATCAAACAGCATCTGCTCAGAAATAACCTGCTCAGTGACGTCCAGTTTGGGTTCCGCCAGGGCCACTCAGCTCCAGGCCTCATTACAGCCTTGGTTCAAACATGGACAAAAGGGCTAAATTCCAGAGGTGAGGTGAGAGTGACTGCCCTGATATCAAGGCTGCATTTGACAGAGTGTGGCATCAAGGAGCCCTGGGGGTAAAACTGGAATCAGTGGGTATCGGGGGCAAACTCTCCGCTGGTTGGAGATATACCTGACACATAGGAAGATGGTTGTGGTTGTTAAAGGTCAATCATCTCAGCTCCAGGACATCTCTGCAGGAATTCCTCAGGGTAGTGACCACGGCCCAACCATCTTCAGCTGCTTCATCAATGACATTCCCTCTATCACAAGGTCAGAAGTGGGGATGTTCGTCAATGATTGCACAACGTTCAGCACCATTCGTGACTCCTCAGATACTGAAGCAGTCCATGTTCAAATGCAACAAGATGTGGGCAATATCCAGACTTGGGCTGATCAGTGGCAAACGACATTTGCGCCACACAAATGCCAGGCTATGACCATTACCAATAAGAGGCAATCCAACCCCGTCCCTTGACATTCAATGGTGTTACCATCATTGAATCCTCCACTATCAACATCCTGGGCATTATCATTGACCAGAAATTCAACTGGACTCACCACATTAACAGTGGCTGCAAGAGCAGGCCAGAAGCTAGGAATACTGCGGCAAGTAACTTACCTCCTGACTCCTAAAAGCTTGACTACCATCTAAAAGGCACAAGTCAAGAGCGTGATGTAATATTCCCCGCGTGCCTGGATGAGTGCAGCCCCAATAAAACTCAAGCAGCTTGACACCATCCAGGACAAAGCAGCCCGCTTCATTGGCACTACATCCACAAGCATTCACTCCCTGCACCACTGACGCTCAGTAGCAGCAGTGTGTACTATCTACAAGATGCACTGCAGAAATTCACCAAAAGATCCTCAGACAGCACCTTCCAAACACACGACAACTTCCATCTAGAAGGCCAAGAGCATGAGACATATGGAAACACCACCTCCAAGTTCTGCTCCAAGCCACTCACAATCCTGACTTGGAAATGTTCCTTCACTGTTGCTGGGTCAAAATCCTGGAATTCCCTCCCTAATAGCATTGTGGGTCAACTGACAGCAGGACTGCAGCGGTTCAAGACGATAGCTCACAACCACCTTCTCAAGAGCAACTAGGGATGGGCAAGAAATGCTGGCCAGCCAGAGATGCCCACATTCCATGAATGAATAATGAAAAATTATACTCAGATCAGTTGGCCAACTGCAACTGAATTCAGTAAATGATTTGTTGCGAGGAGAATAGCTTACTAGTTACTCACCAATCAGCATCTTCTCCTATAGTAAACTAAAGTCCAAATACTGGAAGCTGAAAAAGCAGCATATCCTTGCCTCTCATCCTACCTAAATGAATTCCCAGCTCTACTCCATGCAAGTCGCACTCAGACCACTGGTTTTATACAACCCGAGACTCAGATGAGTCAGCTCGGCTACAGCCAAAGAAAATACCATCATCTAGCTACCTATTTAACTTCAGCTGCTGCAGCGAGCGCGGGCCGGTGAGGGGGCAGCAGTCGGCAGCGAGAGCGGGCCGGTGACGGGGGGCAGCAGTCGGCAGCGAGAGCCGGCCGGTGAGGGGGGGCAGCAGTCAGTTAGCGGTAAGAGCGGGCCGGTGAGGGGGGCAGCAGTTGGCAGCAAGAGCGGGCCAGTAAGGCGGCAGCAGACGGTAGCAAGTGCAGGCCTTTCCGTGGCAGCGGAGGTGTCCTCCTGGGTGTCCCAGCAATCGGAGCGGCGCCTGCACTTAGGGACTTAGGACTCTGGGATCGGGACTTTTCTTTCTTGCTTATCTTTTGGCTCTGTTAAAATCTTTTATTTCTAGTTTTTGTAACTAAGTGGATGGCGACTGTGCACTTTTCACCGTACTTATGTACTCCTATATTTAGTACGTGACAAATAAATATATCTAAATCTAAACAGTCAGTTTTACTTAAATGCTATATGAAAACAAGACGACATTTTTCACTGAGTTTCACCTTGAAGATTCCCTCACTCACCCATCTTCCTGCTTTACTTTGTCCAGCTACTCCACTCATTCAAACAAGCATTCTTGCAATTGTCATTTTATGAGTCTATTATGCAACTTTATAAGTGTTTTATGAGTTCTATAGCAAAGTGATACTATGTTAGTTATAAACAGTGAATTTTATTTTAAGCAGGACAAAATAATGAAGGCTTACCATATTTAACGTCTGAAACTGTGACAGAGCTCTCAGCGATATTTGTGGACAAAATAATCTATTTTAAGGGAAACAGAGTCAACAATAACTAATGTGAAATATTAAATGAACAAATTACAATGTCCTCACTTTTATGGCAATCTTCTGACATCATGCAGCCAAGCACAAAAAAAGCACTATATTAGAAAACAATTTCTAATAAGAGAACTATGATTTGCTTTTAAATCCATAATTAATCTCAGAACTCATTCTTGTAAAGAAAATAACAATAGGCATATAATACATTTAATGATATAAAGCATCCCAAGGCAGTCCAAAGTGCACTACCAAATAAAATTCAACACCAAAACATATCAGGAGACAACAGGGCAGAGGACCAAAAAAGGCAAAGAGATGGTTTTAAGAAGTCTCTTAAAACAAGAATAAGGAGGGGGCATGGAGAGAGGCTTACAGAGGGAAATACAGAGCTTACATCCTTGGAAACTGATGCTGACCATTGCCAACGGTAGTGGCGTTAAAATCAGGAAGGGAAAAAGGCCAAAACAGAGTCGTCCAGCTGTCTCAGAGAAGGTCACAAAGATAAAGGAAGGAAAAGCGCATGGAAGGCTTTGAAAACAAGGGTGAAAAATTGAGGCCTTACTCAATTGAAAATCAAAGCAAGTCAGTGACCACAAGGATGAAGTTTATGGAGGTAGAAGATGGGGGGCCACCCCTACCCAGGAGCACACTGGGTCAATCAGTTCCAGATTGAATGTAAGCAAAAAAAATCTGCCATTCAGCAAGCACTACAGAAGAATTTTTCGGGACTCTGCTCCAAGCCAAGTACCACACCCTCTCTACAGATGACCCATGCTAATCTTGCAATAATTCTGTAATGTCCCCATTACCTCTGATGTTCATGCAGTGAACACACAGTCTAAGGAGACCAACTACTTAATCCACACATAAGGATATTGTAGCAAAGTTGGCAACTATATGGTGTATGTGATGTCACACATTTGGAAAATACTTGAAACTGTTGAAAAAATAGTCAATAATTTTCCTCTGTCTTTTGGTTTATTTCAACTGCCCAAAAATTTCAAGAAAAAGAACAATGCTGAGCTAAATGCTCTACATTCCCCTTGCCTTGTTTGCAAGACCGATTTTCTGCAGGAGAGAGTGAACAGCAATTTAGGCACAGGGTTATAGTTTCCAAACTCTTCCAACACACCTCAAACGTTACCAGGATTTCTTCCTATGATATGCACAGTGCACCTCAAGCAAACTGGAAATTTAAAAAAAACATTTACATGTCACTCTTAAAAACAACATATCTATCCACATTTTGTGATAGATCTGCAAGGTACCTTGATTTAGCAAGACTGGCCAGCAGCTCATTGTCTGTATTGAACATATTTATGGACCTCTATTGATGCTGACTTATTTAACTAGAAGCTACTTTTATTCAAAATTAAATACATTACTGCAATATTTGCCAGCAGGAATTAACTAAAAAAAAGCATTTTGCTTTTGCATTAGAAAAGATCAAGAATGATCACTCAACTGCCAATGAGTCACAAAAGTAAGTTAAGTATCACTGGAGAGTTATTCGAATTAAGTGTTTTACAAACAATTTCATAGAAAGTTTATGATACTCTCACCTTCCTATAGCCAGGCACAGGGGTCAGGAACACATTACTTTGTTCTTCTAAGGTCACACTTGAATGTAGTGGATATACATGCAGCCTACAATTAAAACACCATATTTTGATTTTTTATGGAGAAGAATGCATTTTAAGAAAGGTTATCTCAGTTTTGACAGGGTCACACTTCTGAATTAAGGAGAAGTTAATAAAGTCTCCGTACTCATACCTAGTTTATATTTATAGCAGAAATTTGCAACAGCAAGAGTCTCAACATGTTGACAGGTAAAGGGGAGATCTCTATTTTATCCATTAAACAGACTAAAATACAGTCTAAGTGTGGCTAAATTTTCAACATTCAAAGCAGGTAAAGACTGCAATGTGACAAAGATCTACAAACAAATTGTACATTGTTCACTGATATTGTAAACTGTTATAGAAACAGCAAGGGTTGGAATCTGAGCTTTTAATTGCTTTTCAGGTAGCACAGTCAAGATGAACAGAGGTATCTTAACCGAAGTTGAAAATTTGGCATCCCAGCAAATTTCACATGTCTTTGTCTGAGTGCAACAAGACCTTGTGAGGTTTCTTGCAGTATATTAACACTCACGTCTCATTAACTATATACGCTGCCCCAATGACATCCATTACATCTGACTCTATCCCTATCTTACCACATGCTGTTCACAAAACAACTCGTCGCTCTAGTGGATGTCTGTCGAATGACCAGCACCTCTTGCACACCTGCCATCTTAAAATGGCTACAGTGCACCCAGATATGTATTGGCATTGCAAAGGTGGCCTGGCCTGCTCAGTCAAGAACATCTTCTGAGAAAGAGAGGATGGCACCACGATTCTCTGATAAGCTCAAGAGTTAGTGCAGAGGAGATGGGTTCTCTTGCCATAGGACCCGGCAGCGTAGCCTGAAGTTACCATCCAAATCAGTGCCATCTCAATGTTACAAGTAAATGGCCTGTAGTGCCATAAGATGCACCAGGCTTCTCTCTGTTACTGTATATACCTCCCACCGAGGCTCAGTATCAGTCACTCTTACCATTGCTTGCAACATCTTCCCTCAATTGCACTCAACATCCCACACTACAAATCCTACATGGCCTCTGCAGTGGATACTCATTCCCTCAAAATACCTCATCATTTTCTGACTACTTGCGCCAGATTTAACAGCTGTGTTACCCATTTTCATCTCACCCATCCCTCCATTTTTTTCATTACAGTAGAAAACAGCTCCCAACAGGGCAGGAAGAGCCAGGAGGGGTGCCAAACATGAGGCTCTACAAGGAAAGAGCCTTGGCCTTCACAAGACTACTGCTGCAAATCCCAAAGTAACCCCCACTGTCAGGGTCATTCACTGCACACCATTTCTAAATAATGGCCATGATGCTTTCTTTTTAATTGCACACAACACCAGCATCACTACCACTGACACAGTGAAGTGTCCAAGAAGCTACCTCCTCAACCTCAGGACTGCAGTAGTTTCACAGTAAGCATGTGGAAGGCTTGCTTATGCAATACCGACAGCTCAGATAATGACACACTGGTGAGAATGTTAGCCTTACAAGTTGTGAGAACACAATCTGATGTGTCAGTCCTTCTTCAGGTGAGAGAGGTGCTACCACACACAGAATTTATAAGTAAAAGGTCAAAGGCTCACACCACTGACGCGGATGTATTAAACAAACCTAAGATGCTGTTGAATCTTTAATCAGTTGGAAGGTTTTAAGTGATTAAAATGTATATGTGCTGTGCTTCGAACAGTGGTCTGTTTAAGGTTTGGCGGTTGTTTGAAGGCAAGAAGTAGAGGCGTGGGGAAGATCTTGACGAGGTGCTCATTGTCATCAATAGTGTGTTGAAGGCTACGAAGAACATGACGCAGTTTCTCCACTCCTGAGAAGTACTGGAGGATGAAGGGTACTCTATTGGATGTATCCCGTTTCTGCTTTCTGAGGACGTCATTACAGTTTTTCGCTGTGGCACGTCAGAACTGGTGGTCGATGAGTTAAACATCGTATCCTGTTCCTATGAGGGCATCCTTCAATCAGATCCAGCACCTCAATATCTCCTGGAGAGGTATACACACAGCTGTGCTCTCTTGCCCCAAACATTGATTCCCTGGACCAAACACATGGTGTCAAGGTGGGGACCTGGTAAGCACTTCAGATGCCCCTCCCTCACAAGAAGGTAGTGCCAGGAAGCAATCAGCTGGATAGCGAACCACACACAGGTTCCTCAGAAGTCTCCATCCAGAACACTCCAAATGTGACCAGGTTCTCCTCCTTCCTCCTCTGACTCTTTGAAGTTCACATTGAGGGTTGAATTTATCTGGTAAGACAACCTTTGGTATGTCTGGGCCATCGGACACAAAGTTCCAGGGTCAATAGGCTCAACCGCCAAGCAAGCTTTCTCAAACTCAGCTGCAGAATCAGGAAGTACATAGCTAACATGTATTGGGAGAAAGGAAGGAAAAAGTTATAGAATGTACTTTGGTGGCATGGGTAACCATGCACTGAATATTATTTGGCATTTTTTTTAGAAATGGCACAATGTTAATTTTACACCTGGCTGTTTCTCTCTCCATAGCCCTGAATGTAACTGTGCCAGTATCATGCATTACTTCACGGTCACACAGGATGTAACATGAATTGATGACTGTGCTGCAGCAAGCTGCCAACGTTAAGGAAGAGGAGGAACATAGTACTTTCAGGGCAATGGGTCCTACTGAAACCAGTGCCTCTCATCCTAGACCGTCCCTATTCCTTCCCTGTCTCCAAACGGTGTGAATGAGTGGTCAGTGATATCTGGGACAGAGAGGTGCACAGCATACCAGAGGCCAATGTTTTAGGGACCCCACTGGTCTGTGCCCTGTTGTGTAATGTTGCTTCCTTTTACAGTCCCTTACATCAGTGGGCCTTGCAGCCACATCGTACACAGGTCAAGTCATGTATCCTCACCAACTCAGTACTGCCATAAAGCAAGATGCACATCCTTTGACTGAGGACAGCTAACCAGCAACCTAAGTAGCCTGGTCATGAGATTGTGCTAACTGGCAATGGCATGATGGTAGGAGTATCCAGATAGGTGCCAAGTGCAAGCACTAAAAGAGAATGCAAGTAGCCTTTGCTGCAGCCTAGTCCAATGCATCAATTGGTTGCCTGTTCCTGCTTGCAAAGTGCCCTGGAAGCAGCCTTTCAATACAATTTGCTGGTGCACCCTGCAAAGAGGTCTTCCCAAGCAGCCTGCAAGTGTATTGGAGAGGTCTCAAGATGGTCATGCGGGGTTGGCAAATGTCCATGGACAAGTGTGTCCGTCCATCCGTGTCCGCGTGCATCCGTCTGTGTGTCTGTCTGTGCCTGGTGCCCATGGATTGTGCCCTAAGATGCTGTTTAGTCTGAAGCAACATTGGGGCTCTTCAGAACAAGTGGCAAGCTTCAGAACTGAGGAGCCAGATACCCCCTCTGCTTTCCATGTCGAGATTTCTCGATGTCCAGTTGGTTTGCAAATCGTTGCTATGGCCCCTAAAGCTACTCTTTGCCAAGTTTTTTCTCATGTTCTTTTTATATTGAAAAACTCCTTCAAGTTTTCCTTTAGTCTACGTTCCCACACACTCTCTTCACTTTTCCAATATAATTTTAAATTCCTCCTTGCATTTTTTGTCCTCTTTCAGGAACTCTGCAATATTCAGACCTTGGTTCCTGCCAAATGCTCGTATTTTCTTGATTCTAACCTTAATATTATTTGACATTTAGGGTTCTCTGGTCTTGGTCTTGGTCCCATTTTTATTTTTTGTGGTAACGTATTTGCCTTTCATTCTTGCTATTTTCTCCTTGATTGCCTCCAACTGCTGTGACAGTTTCATCTATAAGTAGTTGCTTACAGTCCATTTGAGCAAAGTGGACTGTCACCTTAGTAAAATTAGCCTTTGCTTGGTTTAGGCCTTGAATTTTTGGTCCATTTTGATCCTTTTCCATAGTTATCATCAATTTAAGTGAATTACAGTCACTCGTCAGCAATTGCTCACAACTGAATTTGATTGTCCACCTAGGAAACTCCATTCCACTGGTCATGGGTTCTGTGGGTCCTTGTGTGGCTGATAGACCAGATCTTCTAGCTCCATCTCAAACCACAGATTTGGCAGGAGTTTCCAGAAGTTGGCATTGGTCCTTGGCCTCATGATCATTGGCACTTGTTTCTCCAGTTCCTTCTCCATTTTTCCTTTTGGCAACGGATGAAGAATTGTGTCCCTTCACAAAGGAGATTCCTCCAAGTTAGTTTCTGTTGAATGAGGGTCTCGCACACATTGATATACAAGTTGCATTTCTTTATGGAAGCCTTCAGGGAGCCTTCAAAACATTTCCTTTGTTCTCTTCTCATTCAAGTGACTTCCTGAGCTGGGCGAAGATCATTTGCTTTGGCAGTCGGAACTCAGGCATCCAAAGCATGTGAAGCCCTGCAGAGTTGGTTTCGGATGATCATAATCTCAATGTTGGTGCTATTGGCTCCTTCAAGGGCATTGATGTTAGTACATGTGTCCTCTGAGCTCATGCGGAGAAGCCATCTCAAAATAGCAACAATGGTGCTTCTTAAGGGCCTTGAGGTGGTATCTATGCAAAGTTCAAGTTTTAGAGTCAAACAAAAGGGTTAGAAGGATGACTGCCTCAGACACATGGATCTCAGCATCAGTACGGATTTATGGTCATCAAGAACTCTCAACCTTAGGAGTCCAAAGGCAGCATGTGCAGATAAGATATGGTGTTGGATCTCTGCATCAATATCAGCACTAGATGAGAAGTGGCTTCCCAGTTAGAAGAAACATTCCATATTTGGGAGGATAACCCCTCTTAACCTTAATGGAAGGATGGTTTGGAACTTGATCTGGGATGGGTTAATAAAGGTTTTGGAGTGTCTTTGAGGTGAGGCTGATACAGATTTCAGTATGCTTCTGCAAAGGCATTAAGTGAGGTTTCAGGATTCCGTTCCGAAAACACAGATGACATGGTCATCCACTACTGAAGCTCCACAAATGAACTGTTTCTCCCTTGGAATTCAACTGGTTGAGATTGAAAAGTTTTCCGACCATCCTTTGGATAATGTCCACACCATGGGAAGCTTATTTTCGACAAGATGAAAAACGGTGGCAAAGAAGATGAAAAAAAGGATGGGGGTGATTACCCATCCCTAATTGACCCCTGTCTTGACCTCAAAAGGATTGTGTTTCATTACCGTCAGTGAGGACCATCGCTGAAATTATCATGGAAGAGATGGAGGACATGGATGAATTTCACTGGACTGCTGGTCTTTGACCGGATCTTCCATAGCACGTTCGGACAGATTGAGTCAAAAGTTTTGGTTGGGTTGATGAAGGACCGGTTGGTGTCATTCCTGGCATGTTTCTTGGAGTTGCTGAACACTGAATATTATGTCCATAATTCCACGGTTTGTTCAGAAGCCACACTGGCTTTCAGGAAGAATTTCCTCAAAGATTGGGAAAAGGCACCTAGCAAGGATTCAGGTGATGACTTTCCCGCTGTTGGAGAGTAGGGAAATTCCTCAGGTCGTTCCCACAGTCCACTTTGTCTCGTTTCTTGAAGACAGTGGCAATGACAGCATCCCCAAGATCAGCAGGGATATCTTCTTTGTCCAAGATTTTCATCAGCAGTTAATGAAGACGGCAGTTAAACCCTGCTTCTGCAAGTCTGAAAATCTCCACTGGAACCCTGCCCACTTTGGTGGCTTTTCCATTCTTCATGTGTTTAGCAGTGGCTTTGACTTCTGCCACATTATGGGATTTGGGGAATTTTCTCAAACACAAAGTTCTCTAAAGTGTCCTCTCCATCAGAGGCTGATGTTTTCTTTCTTTCAAAACCTCAAAATACCAATTTCAGGCCAAGGGTGTTGGGTCCTTGTATCATCTCGGTCGCACTGAAGAAGCCCCAAGTGTTATGCTTGACAGCAAAGAGTTGCAACACCTTTGCTTTCTCACTTCACCACTGGTTTTTGATTCCTCTCCTTCTTTATAACTCCACCTTTGCTGTTTGATGAATTTGCTTCTTTGCTACACTGGTGATGTCATTTTGTCAAGTACAAAAAGCTTTCCTCTTGTTGATGAGGTCTTGGACAATGTGGTCATTCTCATTGAACCCATCATGGAATTTCCTGGCTTAGTAGCTGATGGTTTCTTCACAGAATGAGATGATGGCTGTTTTCAGCTCTTTCCAGATTTCTCCATTCCATTAAAATCAATTCTGGAGATTTTGATCAAGACATTGTTGGAAGTTTACTAGTCTGCTTGGTACATGAAGTGGTTCAGCATTGAGCTTTTCTTCTGAATTGTTTCTTTGTTTTCAGCCACTTTTGGTGGCTTTGATAGACATACAGGAGTAGATGAGCCAGTGGTCTGCCCACTGGTCATCGCTTGGGTAATGAGGACATTCCTTTGGACTCAGGATCAAATGATGACATAGTTGATCATGTGCCAGCGTTGTGATCATGGCTGCATCCAAGTAGTCTTGGACTTGTCTTCTTGATGGAACAACGTGTTGGTGATGTCCAACTAGCATGCTGCACATTTGGTGAGCAGGAGAATCCTGTTGGAGTTGCAATTTCTGACTCCTTCCTTTCTTACGGCTCCTTTGCAACTCTGGCACTGAAGTTGACAGGGAGGGAAACGTTATTCTCCTGAGGGATGCTGTTGGGTATGGTGTCAGCTTGGAACAGACGTTGGTGAATATGATATCCGAGTTGTATCTTACCTTAGATAAGTTAGCCTTTGCTCAGTTTAAAGCTTTGATTCTTGGCCCATCATTATCCCGAGCTATTTCCTACTTGAATGCCTCCCATTGCTTTGACACAGTCTTATCTACAAGTAGCTGCTCCCACTCAATTCAAACTAATTCATATCTTATCTTCGTAAAGAAAACCTTCGCTCAGTTTAGAACTTTGATTCTTGGCCCACCCTTAACCTTTTCCATATCTATTGTCAATCTAAGTGAATTATGCTAATTAAACCTACCCTGTTAATATTTGGGTAATTAAAATCCCCATAAACATAACTGGCTCATTACTCACATCGTCTCTTACATTTGATTACATATTTGATCCTCTATCTCCCTGACTGTTTTGGAGGTGAGGAGTACAAACCCAACAGTGTGCTTGCCCATTTTGCTTTTATTTCTTCCCCCACTTCTAGCAATATGACTTTAATTCACGGCCCTTTCAAGATATCAACCCTCCTCATGGCTGTAATTGTTTCTTGTTCGATATTGCAATCTCCTCTCCTCTTCTGTCCCCCTCTCTATCTCATTTGAATTTCATACAATCAGGAATGGTGAATTACCAATCTTGCCTGTCTTTCACAAGAATATAAGAAACAGAAATAAGTCATTCAACCCGTCATGCCTGTCCCACCCATTCCATTAGATTATAGCTCATCTGCATTAACTTCGCTTACATGCCCACTTCTCATTGCCCTTAACTCCTGATATTTCAAAAACCTACTTATGTCTTTGTTAAATACTTGCGATCTAGTCTCCACAACTCTCGGGGTCCAGAATTCAGAGAGACATTATCCTCAAAAGAAGCATCTTTAAATAAATGTCCCTTATTCTTTAACTATGTCTCTAGTTCAAGATTCCTCAACCTGCTGAGGGGAGGGGGGACGGACATCATCTCAATATTGTCAAACCCCCTCAGAATCTTATGTTCCAATAAGGTCACCTCTCATTCTGCTAAACTTGCATAATAACTGTCTAGCCCTTTTTGATAGGTCAACCTCTTCATTTCAGGAACCAGCCAAACAAATTTCTTTTGAAGTGCCACCAACATTTTCTCTCTCAAATATGGGGACCAAAACCATACACAGTACTCTAGGTATGACCTCACCAAAAGCCTGTACTGTTGCAACAGGTTTGTTGCAACAAATGGTTCCATTTTTAACCCACAACCATCCAGCAATAAGGGCCAAAATTCTATTTGCCTTCTTAATCACATGCTAACATTCTGTTTCTTACACAATTGTACTCAAACCACTGTGCTGAACTTTTTCGGAGTCACCTTATTATTTAAATAATAGTCTGGCTTTGATTCCAAAAATTGTTTGCAAATGGAATGTACTCAAGGGATTCCCTCACTACTTGCTTGGACCCCTTCATTTGTATGGAGGTCACCTATGCCTTTTCTGTCTGCACTTTAAGCCACAAGGTGACCACATGGGCTATCCATGAATCTCTCAACTTGTGAATGCACAGTAGTCCCCCTCAGCTGCTACTCAAGCTCCAAAACCCAGGGCTTGGGTTGCTTCAGCTAGAGGCACTTCCTGAACATGCAGTCATTCACGAGCTCTCCAGACATAGCTTAACTGAATAAAATATAGACCTTTGCTTTAACTGTAACCTTACTCCTACTTAAGTATAGACTAGAAACATCTTATTCTTAATCATGTCAGACAAACAACCAGAACCACTAAACTCAATTACATTAAATTAACATTAATTATCTCTATCCAGTTGCTACCTACAAACCATAATATTGTCTACAGGTAAATGTTGACACTTGTACTTGACATATATACAAGGAGATTGGACTCCAATTGGTTGCACCTGATTACTTACTATTTATTAAAGCTGCTGAGCTGTTTGCAACATTCCTTTCAAAACACAATTTTTAATTTAAGTATTTAAAGAGTACTTGTTATTCAAAATGCTCCTTCTTTAGAAGGAATAAATAATTTTACTGGAGATTTCATGAGAAAACTGCAGTGCTATGGGCTAAACAGAATGGAAATTGTATTAATTGCAGTCTTTGAGCTATAACAATGCAATAGCCACACGGCATCATTTTGACAATCCCAGTTTTATTAACTTGAAAACCCTCCAGAAATAACTCCAGTAAAAAGTTCCAACAGTGGGCTTAATAAGGAAGACTGGATTGCTCGATTGCCTAAAGTGAGAAATGCACCAGCGTTCAAATTCGCAAAAATGACACTATCTGTTTATGCAGTGAGTCATATTTAAGGTAACATGCTTTGATGTACAGCTGTGAAGGGAAAAAAACTCTCAAGCTACCTCAATGACAGGAGGAAAACTGATGCTGAGCAACCAATGCATTGTCACAGAATTTGCCTTATTGCATTATACATCAAGAACAGTGCCTTACCTCTTCTGAACCATGGAGGAGAGGACCTCATGCAAGTGATTTATTTCTGCCAGGCCTAAAGATTGGATACATTACAGGTGAAGAAAGAGGGGAAGTATCTGGGAGAGAATGCATTAATACAAAATCTTAACAAAATATGTATCCTAATTTTAGCTGCATTGTACATCTAACCTTTCAGCACAAGAAAACAGAACAAAATCATTTTAAATCTGCCAAGTCATTTACATTCAAAATTTAATATTACAAATTACTGTGGAAGTCCTTTACAGTGCAAATGTAGAGATCCAAAAAGTGAAAGCACATTACAGCTACACCATATTAGTAAAAAAAATCAATTTTCTCACCATTAGCAAAACCAAGGTTTTGATAAAGATCTACTCCTTTTGAAGCTGCAACACACCCCACCCCCGTGATTAGCCAAGTCACAGTATACTGAATCACATTATGATGGACCTCCAGAGTCACATCAGTCACAACACAAAACAAAGCAAAGTTAGACTAGGAAAGATGGAAAAATTGCAATGTCTGCTAATACATATATTCTAGTAAGTAAATCAAGAGCAAGTCTGCACTTAAAATAATTGTAACTGACAACAGCCAAAAATCAAAGATTGGGAAAACATCAGTGATACCGCGTAGAGGTAATGAATACCAAGGTATTATCTCTTATACTTCTGGAAAGCAATGCAAAGCACTAACTCAATGAGGTTCAGTTCCAATCAGAAAAACAGCACAATGTCACATTTTCTTGATGTTACATAATAAATTCTATATGGAGTAGTCACCTTCATGCTGCTCTGTTGGTTCTGAGCTGCACTGAGCCTGGAAGTAAGAGATGGATTTTCTCGATGCAAGGTCTTCTACCCACATAACTAACTAGTTTTACCAATATAGTTTGATTGAAATGAATACGTCCAGGAGTTGAATATTTTAACTGAAGTATGTTTGGCATCCTTGCTCAAAAGATATAGTTGAACATTAGAACAATTTCTAAATATTACCTGGCAAAAACACCAATACACTGCCACGGTTCAAACTCATTCCTGTTGATCTATTAAAATCAAAGAAGTTGATAAAATTCTATTAAAATTTGCTTCAACAATTAACTTTACCATGAAATGCTTACTTAATCTACTACATGTAGAACAACTAAAATACTGTGTAGAGTCATACAACACAGAAACAGACCCTTCGATCCAACTCATCCATGCCAACCACGTTACCCAAACTAATCTAGTCACACTTGCCTGCATTTGGCCCATATCCATATAAATTCTTCCTATTCATGTTCCTGTCCAAATGTCTTTTAAATATTGTAACTATACCTCCATCTACCACATCAAATGGCAGTTCATTCCATAAACACACCACCCTTGTTTGAAACAGCTACCCCTCAAGTCCCTTTTAAATCTTTCTCCTCTCACCTTAAAAATATGTCCCCTAGCTTTGAACTCCCCTCCCCTAGGGAAAAGACCTTTGCTAGTTATCTTATCTGTGCCCGTCATGACTTTATAAGCCTCTATAAGATCACCCCTCTACCTTCTATGCTCCAGTGAAAAAAGTTCCAGTCTATCCAGCCTCTCTTTATGACTCAAACCCTCCAATCCCAAGTGTTGAAAGTTTTTTTTTAAATCAGCATAAATGTACCGATAAATGCAACTAAAGTGCGGTCGAAGTGTTTGAGAGATCATTTCCACTGACTCAATACAAACATAACTAATAATGTTCATGACACCAACATTATTGAGTGGCTAATATAGATGTTCACAGTGGACAAAACGGTTACCCTCTACTCCTTCAGATTCCTAACATCTTACAGTGTCCAAACCAATGTCTCACCAAGGTACCTTGACTGCCACAATGACCAACCTGAAAATCCAACCAAAAGGGACAGAAGGAAAAATTGCCAAAGTGTACTCAAGATTTCAAGGTGTACTAACAATGGGGTGAGAGGTATCTTGCTAACAAGACACAAGTACCTTGCTGCCAACTTGAATTCAAAAAATTTACTGTGTTATCTTCGTTTTTAAAATCTGTGTCTTGTTTAGGGACAACTAATATTGGGAAGCTGGCCATTTTTCACTTTTTAGACCTAAGACTGTGAAGCCCTATGTCTGCCTGCTTTGATCCTTTTGAATAATTTATATGTAACTTTAATATGGAGTGATAAATGTAAAACCAGCAATATCAAATCAGAAATCTGTTTATGCCTCTGCCAGCCATTACGGAAAGAAAATCAGGAGACATATACTGGGCAGCTAATTCAATATCGCCCTTTAGACATTATCACTGTCAAAATTACAGTTTTAAATTCCAAGACAGTAAAGATTGTGATTCTCTGCAAAATGTTAAAGTGAATCTCATTTTCAAAGAGATACTGAGCAAATTACTGACAATTACCTCAATCTTAATTAGAACAATAAATTACTAATAAAGACAGAAAAAATTACCACCATACATCTGTAGCTTTCAAACTGACAACTGGATAACAAAACATTTTGGACTCCTTTAACATCTCAGGTACAGCAGTGAAGCAGCCTGATCACTGTACTCTCTCTGTTCCACGCACTTTGCTTGTATCTAACCTGTACGAGTTGTGACTGTACTTTCAGTGTATGACAGTTGGTTCAATCCCTCTTTGACCACTAGTCTGATCAGCACTAAATACAAACTTCTTGTTGTTTTGTCCCCTATGATGATCTCATGGTGCTTCAAATTAAAGTGTAATTCTTGGTTTGTCACTTACCTATTTTCTTTATTTTCTAGCTCATCAAAGTAGAGGATCAGAGTTTCTGCTATGTTATAGACTTCAGGCAGGATTTTTGGTTCATTACAAAATGAAGGCGAAATCTAGGAATTAAGCACAAGAAAACAATCATTCCATGTCTAGGAAGCAGACCATCAAAGCAATGCAAGGCAGCTTCTTTTAATAAAATTAATTTATGAGATGTAGATATTACTGGAAATACTATTACTTATTTACTGCATATCCCGAATTTCTTTTGAAAACGTGGTGGCTACTTTGGTCCAAAATTGATGCAGTTTATCTTAGTTTGATTGAAAGTTAACTGTAAACTACATTAGGATGGCAATAAAGGTAAATTTAAGGCAGATCAAAAAAGGATGACAATTTCATTTACCTGAAAGAACATCAGTGAACCAGTCTGCTATTGATAATAATTTGACAGCTCCAAGGCCTTTTCTAAGGATCTGAATTTTCATTTACAGATCACTTTTAAACTGTATACGAATGATTGAACTGACATAATGGCATAATTTTCTCTGTAATATTACTCCATACAATTCAGTGAGGCAATCATTACATGACAACACTAGGCTAGAATGCACAATTGAATGCCAATTTGCATTTGAAGGTTTTATTGTCTGCAATTCTCTATTTTCCTTGCGTTAACCTTGCTACACAAGAATCTGATGCACAGCTATCCACAGTTCTTAATACCACTCTTCCAAACGGCGATGATTTATGCTTTATGCAGATTTATTAGAGGGGTCTGACTATCCTCAGCTGATGACAACATGTGGAATAGCTGCAAGGTTCAATTATTTGTGATCAGGCGCAGGAACCATTTCAAGGCCACTAAGGTGAACTGTAGATCCTCGACTGTCACCACAGCCAACATCCCAAATAGCAGCCACATCATTTTTAAACAAATTACAATAGTTCATATAGTAGGACCAAATTGCTGTAGATGCTGGAATCTATACTGAAAACAACAAATGCTGGAGATCACAGCAGATCAGACAGCATCCATGGAGTGAGCAAGCTAACTTTTCAAGTCTAAATGACTCTTCGTCAGAGCTGAAGAGAAGGGTGGAGGGGCAGAATTTATGTTATAATTGGTGGGAGATGGGGTGGGAATGGTAGGGTGGAGAAAACTATGTTGGTAGTTCAGATTAAGTGATCGGAATGTGAGAATGGCAGAACAATGGCGCGTCTCACTGCCAGACTTGGAAAAGAAGACAGTCCCACTGGGGTTGGGGGACAGGAGAGAGGTCACGTTGACAAAGAATGTAACAAGTAAAGCTAAAAGAAAGGTAAGAAATGGGAGTTGGTTCACAATTTGAAGGTGTTGAACTCACTATTAAGTCCAGAAAGCTGTGAAGTGCCTAGTCTGAAGATGAGATGTTGTTCCTCCAGTTTGCTCACTGGAGCACTGCAACATGCCGAAGGCAGACAAGTGTGCACATGAGCAGTTCACTGTATTGAAATGATTGGCTACGGGAAGGTCAGGCTGATGCTTGCACGCAGACCAGAGGTGTTCTGCAAAGCGGTCATCCAGTCTGTGTTCGATTTCTCCAAAGTAGAGTTCGCCACACTGGGGGCACAAAAGAAATGCTACTTCATCTGGAAAGACTGTTTACGCCCCTGGATGGGAAGCAGGGAGGAGGTGAAGGGACAGGTATTGCACTCTCTGCGGTTACATGGGAAGGTGGTGTGGGAAGGGGGAGAATGTGTTGGCAGTCAAGGGATGGACTAGAATGTCCCGGAGGGAACGATACCTGCGAAATGCAGACGGGGCAGTGAGGGGAAGATGTGTCTAGTGGTGACAGTCTGCTGGAATTGTCTGAAATGGCAGAGAATGATCCTTAGAATGCAGAGACTGGTTGGATGTGACGTGAGCACAAGGGGGACCCAGTCACACTGTTCAGTGTAACGGGAAAGGGCAAGGGCGGAAGCACGGACAATAGGTCGGATGTGGTTGAGGGCCCTGCCAACCGGTTTTCCCACCGAACTCATTTCCTCCTACCTTGACTCCGTCCTCTCTCTACTTGTCTAGACACTGCCCACCTATATCCACGATTCCTCTGATGTCCTCCATTGTTTTGGCAATTTCCAGTTCCCTGGCCCTAATCACCGTCTGTTCACCCTGGATTGTACAATCCCCTCTATACCTCCATTCCCCACTAGGCTTCTTCCTCAACCAGATGCCTGAACACTCTCCATCCTCCACCACTCTCCTCCGCATGGCTGAACTTGTTCTCTCACTGAACAATTTCTCCTTTATTCATCTCATTTCTGCCAAGGGAGTGGCTATGGGCATCCACATGGGTCCCAGTTCTGCCTGCCTCTTTGTGGAGTATGTGGAAAAATTCTTGTTCTAGCCCTACATCAATCCCCTCCCCACAACTGTTTTCTCGGTACATCAACGACTGCTTCGGTGCTGCTTCATGCTCCTACAAGGGCCTTGCAAAATTTGTTCATTTTGCCTCCAATTTCCACCCCTCTATAACTTTCACATCATCCATTTCCAACACTTTCCTTACTTGCTTTCCTTGCCCTTTCCGTCTCCATTTCAGGGAATAAACTGTCCACTACAAAGCCACTGACTCCCATAGCTGCCTTCACAATAGCTCTTCACACCCCACAACCTGCAAGGATTCCATCCCATTTTCCAGTTCCTTCGCCTACATCGCATCTGTTCAGATGATGCCACCTTCCAAAACAGTGCTACTGACCCAGCTTACATCTTCCGTAACCATGGTTTCCAGCACACTGTGGTTGACAGTGCCCTCAACCACATCCAACCTACCACCTGTGCATCTGCCCTTACCCGTTCCCATCAGCCACAACAGCATGATCGGGCCCCCCTTGTGCTCACATTTCATCCCACCAGCCTCCGCATTCAAAGGATCATTCGCCACCATTTCAGACAACTCCAGCAGAACGCCACCACCAAACACATCTTCCCCTCACTCCCCCCGTCTGCATCTCATCACTCCCTCTGGGGTACCCTACTCCAATCCACGACCACCAAAACCACACACCCCTTCCCACTCCACCTACCCATGTCACCGCAGAAGGTGCAACATCTGCCCCTTCACCTCCTCCCTGCTCACCATCCAAGGGCATAAACAGTCTTTCCAGGTGAAACAACATTTCAGCTATACCTCCTCCAATCCTGTGTATTGTATTCACTGCACCCAATGTGGCCTACTTTACATTGGAGAAACCAAACAGGTGACCACATTGCAGAACACTTCTAGTCCATGCGCATGACCCCGACCTTCCTGTATCCAGTCATCTCAATACAGCGTCCTTCTTGCGTGCACACTTGTCTATCTTCGGCATGTTGCAGCGCTCCAGTGAGTCTCAGTGCAAACTGGAGGAACAACATCTCAACTTCAGACTAGGCACTTCACAGCCTTCTGGACTTACTGAGTTCAACACCTTCAAATTTGAAAACCAACTTCCATTTCTTCCCTTTCTTTTAGCTTTACTTGTGACATTCTTTGTCACTATGGCCTTTTTCCCCTCCTCCCACCCAAGTGGGACTGTGTTCTCTTTCATTGTTCTGCCACTAGCACATTGCAATCACTTAACATGAACTATAAACATCTTTTCTCCACCAGCACGCTACATGCACCACCGCCAAACACCCCCCACTTGCTCCCCCAACCATAGTATACATGCTGCAACTTCCACACTTCATTTCAGCTCTGATGAAGAGTCATCTAGTCGCCTCCCTCCCTCCCTCCCTCCGTGGATACTGTCTGACCTACTGTGATCTCGAGCATTTGATGTTTACAACAGTTCATAGCCCAGTTGATCCCTCCTTTTATTCAGGACCAATTCTGCTCATGGAACCCATGCGAATGTTCATGACCAAGCGACAAAGATTCTCATAGCTGGCTGAATTGCTTCTTCCCAATCTAAAGCCTTTACATTTTCTTCCTACGACCATCTTAGTGTTTGCATAAATCATTTTTCTTGCTCAAACATCAGAGATACTGCTCCTCAACTGACATCTATTCAAATCTTTGACATACACCAATGACCACTTTTGCTTTATTTACAGGTCTTTGTTCTCAACCTTCTTTCTTCGTATAACATAAGAGTGCCTCATTGTCACTACTTATCCTGTGAGACACAATTTATAACCAACTTCTTCCTTTACATTAGAAGAGGCAACAAACACAGGTTGAATGATAAAAGCAAAATATGCAGATGGTGGTGATCTGAAATAAATACAGAAGTGCTGAAGAAACTCAGCAGGTCTAGCAGTATCAGTCGAGAGAAAAACTGTGTAGAAAACAAGGAAAGAAAAAAAACTCTCCCCAATTGGCCAGTAAATTCATCAGCTTTAGCCAACACTTGTTACACCTCACTGGAGTAGTGTGCTGGAAATGAAGCCCTGCTATTCCCTGACATATCACTAGTTAAAGCTTTTATAAAATTCCCCAATTTATCTGTCTTTTACATCCTGATTGACAGAATGCATGGACCAGATTTTTGTACTTAACAAGAATTACTTTTTGGAAAAGTAAACAAATGATGGAACACCAGGTAAACAATTATGAACTACTGACATAGAATTCTACCGAGTAGAGCTACAACACTTCCCAAACACACACGCGAACAAAAAAGAAAATATTGCTATTAAGGCATGAGGGGAAATCTGGAAAGGAAGATCTATGTCCCTTTGCCCATAGCGTGGCTGAAGTGATCATTTTAACTTGCCAGGACCTGCTGCCGTCGATTTCTCTCAGCATCAGAGATATAAGGGAAAAGGCCCTTTGGCCCATTCAGTCCGAGAGCTTCTGCTCTACCACCCTTACAAGCAGTGGGTTCCAGCTTCCCACCACCCTGAGTGGAAAAAAATTCTCACATCTCCCCTAAACCTCCTAGCCCTTACCCTGAATCTATGCCCCATAGTCACTGATCACTCCACCAAGGGAAAAAATTTGTTTCTGCCTATGCCCCATGGAGGGCAACTGAATTATCAGAATAAAAGCCATACTTAACTCTGGAGATGTTAAACGCACAAATGTCCCGAAGACATGAAAGTTGAATATAAAAGTTTAAATATGCAGCTCTTTCTTGATTTCTGTTTTTCAGAAAACTCAAGGATAAAAGCTTCAGTTTGTGAAAATGTACTAAAAACCATCTCACCTGGAAATGGATCAGCTCTTTGAGATCATCAAGATAATATTCATCAACACTGTATGGGACTCCTTCTACCTCAAATACATAGGCAGGGGTCAGGGTCGTTCGGAATGGTACTGCAAAGTAGTCTGCGAACTCCATGCAATTAATTGTAGCGGACATTAGAATCACCTGTGAGAATTTAACAAACATTTCTTTTCAAAGGGAAAACTGCCATGAATTTACAAAATTGAAGTACATAAGCCCTCCAGATGCCATCCAAATAATGCCTCATGAAGTAAATAAATTATTGCTTTTGATTTGTCCTTTCTTGTTTTGAATCCAGGTCAATGCAGAGGTCTATGGAGACTGACTGAGTACATTCAAGACGGAGGTCAATAGACTTCTAGATATTAAAGGGATATTGGCATACAGCAAGAAACAGCACTGTGGCAGAATACCAGCGACCGTTCTAGCTAAATGGCAGAGCAGGCTCAAGGGACTAAGTGGCCGACACATGCTTCTATTTCTATAGGCCTTTAGCTGCAGCAAGTTATACCATCAATATTTATATAGATTTCCATGTTGACTTTATGCCTATTCACATTGGCCTGTATCTGAAGAATTATACCTTGAGAAAGGTGCATCTCTACAAGGAGATAGTTTAAATATCACATTAGAAACACACTCCAGTTAGGTTACATTTATGGTTTGGAGACAAAGACATGGAAAATTAAGAAGGAATCTCATGTAAAAAAGAAACTGCATTCATTTAATGCCTTAGAGTTTCCAAAGCCTTTCCACAGCAACACAAATCTTTAGAAGGTGTCAAAACTGTTGTGAGGCAATGCAGCAAGGAATTTGATCACAAGGATCCACAAACAATACCAAGATAAATCATTACTTTATCTGTTGTACAGTGTTGAGCAGGACACCAAGAGAACTCCCACATTCCTGTTCCAATAGTACCATGCAATTGTTAATTCTCACCTTAGTGGTCTGACAGTATTTTGGTTGAACACATCTTCTAAAAGAGAGCTAGTAGGAACTGCAGATGCTGGAGAATCCGAGACAACAAGGTGCAGGGCTGGATGAACACAGCAGGCCAAGCAGCATCATAGGAGCAGAGAGGCTGACGTTTCGGGCC